GGTGGTCCATGGTTCGAATCCCGCCACGGTTCAGACTTTCATTTCACCTTCAATCACACCCAATATAAATACTAGTCTGCCAAACTACGGCTATCTCAGATAGTCAAATGGACAGGTCTACATTTACTTTTGACTTCACGTTCTGCGAGAATAGGTTTCATTGTTGAGTTTCAGAAAAATAATTCGTATATTTTCTTTCCTCCACCAAGTCTTAGATACCATATTAAAAATAATGCGACACTGAACCATGGCACATTCTACATAAAACCATGATTACATGCGGACTGTTCACAGTGCTCTATTATTTACCACAGTCAGCAGCTTGACATTGGAGGGAAAATTAAGAAATTTCCCACCCGATTATCAGATTGTCTGAATTATTAAGAACTGACAGTATCCTGGATATAGAACTTCAAGTACAGTAAATTACAAAAATCTGATAGTAAGCATTATCGAGGAAGGAAAGCTGTCAGCCTTCACTTTTTTCGTTTAACTGTGAAAAATAACATAAATTTATAGTGAAGATGATATCGAAAGTATAATTTCTGAATCATTATTTTCCATAAAGACGGAGCTTATTTATGCAATAATCCCTTAGATTTTGAATTGCAGAAGAAATGAATAAAAGACGCAAGTTGTATACCCTGTTCAGTTATTTCATTTTCAGACTTTAGGATAGATTTTTCATGTATACAGAACCAACTTTATGTTGTATAGTCGTAAGTGCTGATCAAATTCTATCAGTCATTCTGCAATATGGTCACCAAGCTGAGATACACCATCGCGGTGCTCTTATATTGGTGTCAATTATTCTGAGGTAATTATCAGAAATTCATGTTTGACCCAGGTTTCATGCTTTTTTGAACGCGTAAACAGGGTGCATTCTTCTCCAAGAATGAGCCGGTGTTTTATCAGAGATGGAGCTATGAATCTCTAGTGGCTGTAATTTTACTACAGGTTAAAGGTAAGCCTGGCTTACAGGCAGGAAGTCGAGATTAAACTCAGTTTCTTGGTGATTGCCTTCAAAAAATCGACTTCTTATGCTTTTCATATACCTTAAGGAACCTGTCTCTTTTGACAATTATCTAGTAAGTAAAGCAAACATGGCGATGGCTACCTAGTATTCCTTTGTAATTAAAATACCTGTACATAGAGGAGCCAAACGAAAATTGTTGACTACTTTTTACCAAAGTCTTACATTGATTTCAAATGTTCAAAAAGTGAAGACTTCATCCATCATTATTCTAAGACATATTTCTAAATATCTGTTGTACACGAAACCTATTCTCATTTAACCCTTGTTGCATGTCCAATGAGGGAGCATCATAGGTTTGCTGTAAACACGGTGATCAAATAATAGATAACTATTATTTACTTTCTTAAATATAATTACATTCTTCCAGGTGTTCGACCTGCCAGACATTAGCTATTTCAATAGCTACATCCTCCTAAACATTATCACTAAACAAACGTTCTTAAAGGAGCCATATCTACATCTTTGTGATATGGAAACCACAAACCTAACTGAATAGCTAATGATTCTCAATTCGTCCTAGTATGCTTAAATAAATTTGTAGCATAACCTCTCTCTATGTTTATTTTGTGGCAGTCATTTTTTGCACAATAGTCTTTTATTTAATGGGATGAATAAGTAACTGCTAAAATCAATTGACTTAGTTGGGCCTCATAAGGAATCATCACCAACTAGCAGTTGTTTCGGGTAGTTCGTTTATAATTCTGCATTAGCAGTCAGCTTACTTAATTCTGTTTGAAGGTGATTCTAGAAGACTGGTAGTAAGTTACTAACTATTAGAACTATAAATGAAATATACTTCTAAAAGTTTAGTGAGATAGAGAAACAAATTTCTGACGTTTTACAACCTCGTGAAAATCCCTATGTCTGTGTATTCAAAATACGCGAAGAAGGATCATGACAAATTTCGTTTCTTTGCAAGTTTCACTCTTTGATAACTAACAGTACTTCGCATATGCTTCTCTATTGGTGCAGTTCTCATTTATATTTCTTGAAAATGGTGAGACCAACTATTCTTTACCAAGGAGATATTAATCTCCAGAGGTCAAGTGACAGACTTTGCTATCTGTATGATAACCACCTTGAAGTTCAACATCCAATCAAGCATGACTAATATTATACGACTACTCAATGGAAGCAACTGAATTATGTTTCTGCAGTTCACAAAAATTAACATGATTTACTGTTTACAAACGTAGGTAATGTGTTCAATACATACAGAGAAAAAATGAGGGAAGATTTTCGACGCTAATTGTGATGCACCACTGCTAGGTCATTATATCGTGACTAACAGAATCAACTTAATGATTTATTACAGTGGGAATATTCATAGGCTAAAATCCAAAACCACCAATAACAGTTACTTGAGCACACTAAAAAAGAAGGATACTACTTTTTTCACAAATATGGTTCCTTAACTACCATACATCATCTTAGAGCTTTTGTCGTTAACATCAGTTTTCCATTAACAACGAAGAACGCTTTCAAAACCATACCTCTGCTTTCTGGTGTGAATATGGGCAATAAATTATGTCAATAACGTTGTCTAGTAAATGATACTATTTCACTATGTGACAATTCTAAGAAACAGACTAAAAAAGTTAAAAAAAACTATCATATTTCCCAAGTTTTACTTCTATACTCTCAGAAAAATCGTTAACTCTAGATTCACCGAACAATCATAAAATATATTCTACTGAACAACTTTCAACTGGAAATATAATTCCTGCAAATATTTTTCATCTTTTCATACATATATGTTCACGGTATGATCAGTTTGATTAGTATGTCATTTTCCTAGAAATCAATTTGACCTAATAAAACTGTAATCTAAGATAAGTTGAATTAATTTTGCCCAAGTTGGCAGCTGTGTTGAACGTAGTTCAAGAATATTAGCTTAATTAACAGTGTTATTCCGGGCATTCCGTGCTTAGTTATAGCATGAAAATGACGATGATAATTACATAAGCATGTTAAGTCGATCTATATAACAAAGAGAAATGCCATTCGCATATTGCCTCAACAACTACTGTTATTCTTACGATCATAATGGTACGTTGTAATATGATTTTTCAAGAAAATTCACTGGTGTATATAAGTTGTGTTTCTGGTGAGATTGGATTTAACTCGTAATTATTTGTAAACAATTTCCTTGCTGAAGAATAAGTTTGGATTCCCAGGTGGGCTGGAATCGTTGCACAAGCAAAATCAAACTGGAATATGAGTTTCTACTCACAGTAGATAAATCTAAGCATCTTCGAGATTTAAAGTAAAGATTCTGTACGACTTCGTGCAGAAGATCGATTCAAATATACTCTCAAGTGAATCAGCGAAGCATATGATATCTTATTTTCACCTCTTAAAAGACAAACCTTCTTTTAAAGAGATAAAACTTCAAAGAAAAAAAGAAGAAAATAAACACACTAAAGTATGCCTTTATTTATGTTAGTTTGGGGGCAAAATGTTGGCTAATAGTTTACTGAAAAGTGACTTTTCTCTTATCGTACGCTGGGTGATTAGTAATGCTCTGACCCTAGGTAGAGGGTTACTATGCAGCCTGGTGGGTTTAAACTCATGACTAACCCTATTCAAGTACCCTCAGGTGTTTAGTTTTTTTCAAAAAGGTTGCATTCAATAAATTATAATATCTATAAAAGATAAACCTCATTGATGATTCGGTAATTTGCTGTTAATATACGTATAAATAATGAACTATATGAAACTTTAATGCAAACTCTTGGTTAGCTAATCACTCAAGTTACCCTTTTCGTAGGATGATAATTACTGCTAGTTAGTCCATCTGAAAGAACCAGTTTTATATTTAAGAATAATCACTAATACTGAGATATCCATGACCGCCTTATGTCTCTAGAAATCAGGTTCAACTTCAACTTTAATCATCACTTGACGATTGCAGGTGGCATTTGAAAGTTTGAAAAATGTGCATACTTTTAATTTTTCCCCCAAACTAAACGAATCAATGGTGTCGTATGAGTATTTTCGCTTATAGAAGTTAATACTAAATTTCAAATCCAAAGAACTTACTCTGATGGTTCCACTTATTTAAGCAAAAACGTCGTTTCAGTCCCACCACACATCTACAACCTTCAAATGATTTCAATGAATTCTACGTAACAAAGACTACGAAATGTGATCTAAAAGGTTTGAAATTTTTGACACCAAAGGGTAACATAAACAATTAGAAATCTGCATCGCTACTAGCTAGACAGTGATAGCCGCGATATTCAGATGAAGTCACTGATATGAAATAAATAACTGAGTATCACAAGTTGAAAATAAAAGTATTTGAGTTTCAGGTTAATAAGGATTTTATTTACTACAAAGAAGTATTCATCATTGGCTCATAACAGTTGAAGAATCGCTGAAAACCTATTTGGGTAATGCTAAAGAATCCATAACAGGACGAAAATCAGTCGAATGCTTCTGTTTTCCTATGCTTTTTCAATCGATGTCAGTCTAAGATGGATACTACCTTGAGATAAATTGTTGTATTCATTATATTTGGTTCCAAATTAACACTATGGTGTACACGCAAACTTACAAACAACCCTATGGGTTATTCATTTTATCGGATAAATGGGTTATGTATAGAATTTAAGAATAAGGAAGAGTATTACAAAATGGTAGATGACTGAGCATGGAAAGAGGGAACTGATGATCTGGTGGTTACTACATTTTATGTATAAAAGGAACTAGTTACGTTGTTTACTGTTTTAGTGAAATTTCACCAACAGGAATGAACTCATATCATCTGATTATTAACTATGAAATTCCGCTAATTCGGACAGGAGGTTTGTCGAATAATTATTCAGATTCAAGGATTAGTAATTGCAACAATATTTTAAATAAAACTAGGATTTAAGCAAATAAGGTGTCTATGTCTCCGATTGCATTATGTTTAAATTCGTTAGTTGGTTACAAAAAGTGAAATGTAATTTAGACCTACCTCATAGTTCTTTTTTCTCAAAGTATATACAGATTAGTGAGCAGAAACAATATTCATTTAGGCAGTGAAAATTGAAACTTTTAGGATATGAATTTTACTTTCCCTTAAGACTTTTAAAATAAGTAGTAACGAATCAAAACATTTTCAACCTGAGTATTTTAGACCAATCAAAACTTTTAAAGCATCGTATGATATGTTCTTACAATTTCTTTATGCAACACACTGGCCTAGTATTCTTAATCCATAAGAAAAATTTCATGACTGAACAGTTTAACGCTCCTACTTGTATTTTCTCTGAATCTTTAACACATTTGAATAAAGGCTGCCATTTGCTCAATAATTCACATAATATCAATTTTATAAAAATGTAAGCAAGTTACTATGGTTCGTTTTGCTTTGCCCTGTGCTCTGAACTTAAGTGTAGTAAATCTCATTACGAATCCCACTATATTGGAAATCATATCTTTAGATAATTCAAAACAGTTGCTTTGTTTGATGGTTTTGGCAACTTTTAGTTCAAGTAAGTGTGTTTTGAAACGATGAATGTCTGTGGAATTTGGTGATGCCGAAACTCAGCACTCCAGTAAAGAAGCTACCTCCATTTCTACTTTCTGTTTTCAAATACTCGTTGGTCGTATGGTCGTAGATAAAACAGATTGCTAAGATATTCATTCAAGTTGGTAGCAGTCGAAGCTATTATCACTCTTGATCTACTGATACCCATTAAATGATCGGTTTAATAAACATTAGGACATAGTAGGCATTTCTGATGAATGTCATACAGTGGAAAAACTGGAGTATCTGTAAGGTGTCCATTTTCAGTTAATTTAACTGTCAGATATCATTCGGTAATCTGCCTTCTCAGAAGTGTCTTTAAAAATTGAAATTCGAAAAAATATCAGACTGTTCTCCGTTGGTTTCTAACCTTCATATTACTCTCATAAATTTATATGCGTTTAAACTTCATAGGATGTTGTGTTTTGTGCAATATCAGCGATAGTAATTAGTAGTAGTTCATTATGCTGGTTTACAGGAGTAACTTGTGAGATAAATTCTTTTTTCAAAGGAGCACTTCACTGAAGATTGGCGAAAAATATAATAAAATAAGCAACAATATAATCTTAACTCCAGTAGCCTAGTGTTGTCTTTGGTGAAAGTGATGAAAACCAAATATCTCTTCGATACTATGAATATACTTCATTTTTAAGCCTAAACAGGAAAAAAACTCAAAACGAAAGCATAGCGTAATTTTTATTTAAACATGTATAGAGTAACATAATGTTATAGTGCATTGGGTTACTTCGTCTATCTACTGCATGGTTTTGTACATCAGTAAGCTGCATTTTACGCCAAGTAATGAGGTGTGGTATTGCTTATTAGATTTTGGAGAGCTAATGTTCACAACTCCCTAATTTCGCACAGAAGCAGAGGATTAAACATAAAATTTGGTAAGGAAAAGTCCTCAACGCTGTCCGTTATGTGAATAGTGATTACGTAGCTCGATCTTTTAAAAATTTAAAGAAACTTCGTAGCTGAAATCTACAACAAGCTATTTAGTCAGTAACCAGGCGAAATGCATGGATATTAGTTCAAATGTTCTTTAAAACCTGACAAACACTTCTGATTGTCTGTCTTCTCCATAGATAGCCCCACTTCGTTAGTGGTGCTTCTTACTAAATTTGTTCCTTCTGAATGGTTGCAAGTTGAAGATCACTGGTGGTTTTGATACATCAGCATATCAACACATGTGTTGCCAAGTCTTAAACTAAATATTGTCACACTATTAAATTCAGTCGTGTTTACTGCAAAAAAAGTAATTAGATACTTTTTTGAATTTCTTACTTCAACTATTCTTCTTCCTGTTTCCCCATTATGATAGACAATTGCATTTGTGCTTATAAAATTTGTGGTTATCATACGTTTTATGACCTTAATTCGTTAACCTCCAACCACTTAACTGACTAGGTAAATAGAGAGTTTAAATTATCTAACTACTATTTGGAAATATGGCAAACAAGAGATCATTAAATGAAAGTGATTTCATTTCCAAAGCCCACACTACACTTTTCTCAAGTCTCATTGATAGTATAAATAATATATGAAATCAGGTGAAGTTTAGGTTACAACTACCATGTAAATGAATAATCCCCTTATCATGCATAAAATCTCTGAGAGTCACTCTTCAGGAAACTGTGAAAGTGGATTAGAAATATGGCGTGGACTCTTTTCACATCATATTACACCAGTTAATATAGTCACTAGATTGTGTGAAGTGCTAATGGTGATAATGATTTCAAGTAGCTTCCGGCTTATAAGTAACAAAACATCACTCACGTTCAAATCTATTAGGTGCAGTTTAAGCCTGAAAAACAATAATCATGAGTTTCTGCTTGTGCTTTCTTGCATAGTTTCAACAGTGTCGTCTGAACTGTGACATTACTACTCAATATTTTTCCCGAAACATTTGAGTTACCGTATATCGAATGCTGTAAAAATAAGGTCTTTGAATGAAGTGGTATCAATATATTTTTTACATAAGAGGAATAATGTAGTTTTTACTAAACATACTTGTTACGTAAGTGAGAGATACCTGAAGGTCCTCTACCATATAGTTTCAGCATAACTGAATATACTGAATGAACATACACTTTAGCTCGTAGTATCAAATGACCATTCTGAACACATTTGCCTCAGAATGTATGTAGGTTAAAATGGTTGTTTATGCATACACTTCACATCGAATGACATTGATTTTCTTCATGAAAGGTGATTCGGTGTATCATTTAGTAATCCAATAATAATTTGACCAGCTGAACATTTTTCAGTTATATGATTTGTTCATCAATTCTATATTTTACTACTAATTGACCTGAAAAGCCTAATGATTAGCTAGCTATATGGTTTGATAGGTAGGAAAGATAATCAATAAACTTCGGAATAACAAAAGCATTTTTATCATGAAATAAATGAATAACACTATTAAAATTTCATCTAGTCAGATAATGAGTAAGGTGTGAATTAACCGAAGCTTCAGTCACCGGAAATAAAAGCATCTAATTTCATTAAACACCTAGTAAAATGTCTTTACAAAGTACTTTAGGCATCCCTTGTACTATTAGTAACCTTAACCACGGCTTATAATCACCTTACTAGTATTGTAACTTTCATAGCTGCTTTCCGAACATTTAAAAGCAGTATAAAACAAGAGAAAATTAGAGTATTAAAACATTTTTACGTTTCTTCCTGAAATCTAATTTTGGTACTTATCGATTAATAAATTTTAGGTTAAATATAATACCAATGGGGTTTTATAGTGAAAAAGTGGTTCACAAATGATTCCAGTCAGTTATTATAAGTCCTGTAATAGAGTAAATGAATACTCAGTATCTCTGGTTCTTTGGTATGAAGATAAGATGTCTCTTGTGCTAGTGCAGATGATAAAAGTTTCGTACAGTGACTTTAGAAAAGTATGTACTCGTTTAAAGGAAGTAATACTGCATTGTCGAAAGCATTATTTCTGCAGATAAAATGAATATGCATAAGGTTCATGATGAAAAGGGATGCCAATAACACTATGGATATTTAGAGACCTTCACATTATTCATTAATTGATCACTGCACCTCTGAAAATCGCATTCGTCATTATTAACATGTTTATCCTCCGAAAAGGTTTCAAAATGTGTCATCTTCATAGCTTCGAGGTTGTTTCTTCAAAGATATTGTTACAGCCTAACAAGTTGTAGGAGTTTCAGAAAAACCTTGTGTTGTGTCGTTTGAATTTGATGTAGTATAAATTATTTGTCTGTTATTTCAAAGTATTATTGCCTTTCTGTCTTCAGCTTACTGATAACAGTTTGGTAAAATATGCACCCAATTAACTGAAGAAGTAGAAAGAACCTACGATTTACAAAAGGTATAATCTACACTCATTTTCACCACAGCTTTCCTGAAATAGACATTGATCAACGAACAGAAAATTCTTATACTAAGCAACAAAACAAAGATGTAACGCTGAAGAGAGATAGATATCGGTTAACTGTTGAGAGCCAAAAGTTACATTTGGAAATATCTACAGTGATGTAGTCTTGGCGAGTGCCATTCAAGAAATATCCTGTTGAAGAGATTAACTCAAGAATGTCGTTGTACTCTATGAAGATAAATTAAGCAGCCGACTATTGGAGTACTTATATCTGGTAAACATCGGAGCTCACCATTTTTCCCCCAAACCCTCTGTCTAAATGAGAAACATAAGGCATCCTATCACTTAAACAAACCAAAATAACGAGTAAATTGGTATGTTCAAAAAGGTTTCGTGCCAAACAATTTTATTTTTCGTCAGATGATTAAAAGGCATCTCATAGGTAAACAAGCCTCCTTAAAGAAAAATAAAAATGATTAAATCATAATCTCAGTTTAATCTGTTATCGGTTTAGTGTTGATGTAGAGTCGATTAACTAATATCGGAAAAAATGTCATACCGTTACATTGTCAGGTAGACAAAACAATGAATAGGAATAAAAGTGTCTGTGATGATAGAACAGCTTTAAAAGACAATTAACTAGAATCAAATTCGTCGAAATAGGTGGATTTGTACTTTGTCGACAAATTGACAAAGCTTGTTTCTTGAAGTTGACGCTGGTAATGTTCTTCCTAACAGCAACAGAAACATCACTTTTCAATAATACGCACCCACGGCCTTCTGCCAGTGACTGAATGGTTAACGGGCTCGCGGTAAAACCTGAAAGCAATGAGTTCAATCCCTGGCAAGTGGGGTCATAAGTGAGTACTACAAATGAGCCGATGTTAGGACGAAACAGCTATCTAGTGCTCCAGGGTTTTCAGTAGTCCTCTAACTGATGTCCGTTCGAGATGAATACCACCTAAAAAATGAATACGCAAGTATTTAGGCATAAATGCATAAACCTAAATAAATTTCCTCTGAGCATACATCTATGTCAGACATGGTTATGTTAGCGAATCACACAACTACTTTATGAAGGCCTGT